TTTGGGGCCGGGGCGGCGCGGGGGGGGGGGAGCCCCTCCCCCCCCGCCGGCCGGTGCCGGGGGGAAGCTCGCTTTCCAGGAAGCCTGGGAGGTGCGGGGTGCCGCGGGCGCGGGTGACGCGGGGCCTGCGGCGCCACGCGGGTCTCTCGCCCGGTCGCGTGAGGAAGACTGCGGGTGCGCTGCAGGATGGCGTTTACGTGTTCTGGTAACAATTGTTTCTCACGGTATGTGGGCGTGGAGCGGAAGAGTAAGTTGAGCCGGATGAAGAAGTATTGGGAGCGCTGCGTGTAAGGCGCCTCTCCTTTTTCTACAACCCTACAGTGCTAAACAGTGGCTAAAACTTGGCAAACAAATGTAAATTTAGTGCCTGAAGAAAATGGAAGCACACCAAGAAGCGTATGGAAATTTTTAAAATGTCTTCTTTAGCTTTTTATTTGCATTTTATGTATATTCTTACCTTATAGAAGGGGAGAGTGATCTCTCAACATTTCAGAAATTCACGTTCTCGCTATTTCTGTTTGGGCTGGGGGCAGGAATCTGTGATGAAAGCGAGAAGTGGTACTCCAAGAACAAAAACACTCACCGCTGTTCACCTCCAGCATGACAACAATCCGACAACCCCGCAGAGAGATCTTAAGGAAGAGCTGGGTGGGCAACCTAATTCACATCGCTACTGACAATGCCTGTATTAACGTCTTGTAACTCTGCTCCTGCTTTGTAATCCGAAATTGCATCTTTCACTCGGACAGTGTAAAAATAGACTTACTGCCTCAAACGAGGACGCATTGGAAAGATGGTTCCAGATAGAATGCTGGCAGCAGAGAAATTATGCAGCGTTGTCTCAGCCCTTGGACATGGAGTATAGGTACCACGTTCCGTATATCTGACATACGAGTCTGCCTTGTGTGTGACATACTGTTGCCTCATATTCAATTGCAACAGAGGCCATTTAAGTTCAGACAGTGGGGAAAAACATAACGTGACAAAGCAGACACTGAAATAAACTGTCATGGGAAACTGCAGGCTCTAAACCCACATCCAGGTGGTTATGGCATGGCTAGAACTGAACATGCCTTAAGTCAGGCTGGATCGGGTTATGGACAAGGCTCTTTCCAGCTCCATTTCCCACAATGAGGAAATGTCAGAGGACCCAGATGTGTGCTAGAAAATACGACGTGGTGGAGGTTAGGGATATGACAGAGAATTACAATAGTAAGGTGACGCATTCTTACAGCACTTCCATGTACTTGCAGCTCATAGAATAAAAAGAATCTCTATGGTCACCTAACTGAATTATCTCAATAACGCAGAAAACAGAGATGCCAGATCCTTTTCATTCAAGCCATATCCTGACACACTTGGCAACGTGACATCTGGCAAGTTCCTCCAACTAACCCTTTGTCCAATTCAGTTACTGTCACCTCTAAATTAATTTCCTGGATTCCAAAAATGAGGAGCACGAGAGGACACGTGACATACACTACAAATGTGTTTTGCTAAAAGCTTTGCAAAGAAAGATATCACAGGCACAGTTGAGAAGCCACGTCTATCTAAAATCAAAGCTTGTAGCTGTACTGGTACCACCAGCCCTGTGTAACACCAGAATGCACGTGTGTTCAGACTGGCTTTCAGGGGCTGCCCCAGAATCGGAAGCAGCAGACACCTGCACAGAATTCTTTCCAAGTTAATAAACCAGGCAAACAATCAGAAAGTTAAATATGTGAAGTTACCCCATAATCTGCATGTTTTAGATGGGTCGTGGTTTTGTTTTATTCAGGTTATCTCCTTTGATATCCTGACTAATCACAAGTTTTTCAGTTTATTTTTGCACGCTTCTGTTTAAGTTTGTAATGAGGAAGAGCAACAAAGTTGCTATACACAGTATATGAACAAAAGCAACAAATAAATTTTCTTGAAGATACGCCATATTTTTCTGATTTTCTTGCCCATTATTGATTCCACTAGAGCACTTGACATTAGATGGGGCAGATTTTTCCATCATGTGAAGAATTTAAGACAAATAATAAATCCTTTGCTAAAAAAAAAAATAATGTACTGTCATCCAACAACTTCATGGAATGATTGAGAAGATTCCTTAGCCTGTGTGATGCAGTGGGGCAGACCAGATAATCAGATCACCTTCAACTTCAAAAACAATAAACTTACATTCTGGTCCCAGAGACTGAGCCAGAGGTAAGGTATTGCAGTAAGCTTCAGTCTCATAATACATCTACAAATTCTTCCTAAAATAATAATTTTTTTTTTTTTCTTTAGGACTGTTCCCAATTCTCTCTGATGTGCCACATCATAGAATTTCAGTGGCTATCGTTATCAGTCCAGTTCCTATCGGGAGCCACAAGAGAATGTTTGATATCTAGGAAAAACCATATTTAGGCCTGTTTCTTCAAGAAAAAAAAAGACCAGGAAGGAAGCTGTCTTGACAAACAACTAAAATTCAATTATATTTCAGATGGGACATTTACAATTACTTTGTTTTGTGTAACACTATTGCTAATGTAAAAAGTGATTAAAACACAAAAATTTGAATTGAATATCTGTATTTGAAAAGACATAGAAAAATAAGAGTCAAAAACTGTCACAGGGTCATGGTTGTCGTGTAACAAGGATGGTTTAAAGGTGACTGGCAGACATGTCTGCTCATAATAATTCAGACTGCCTGGGAGGGCTCGTGTATTTTAAATGTTCAGTTAGTTCCATGTAGAAAAATCAGGTGCTTCTCCAACAGGAAAATGACTGAACGCAGCTCCAAAATTCTTGGATTGAATTCCACTCCTCTCTCCATACTCCTTGGTTTAGAAAGCACTCTCGGTTTCTGGGAACATGGAACGTTCATTTTATCGTCCTCCTCCTTGTTCCTCATTAATGCAACATCTCTTGATCCCTCCATCTCTCAAGTGTTTCACTGCAGTGAGGTTCGTAGATGGTGCATACGGAGAATAGGGCCATGAGAGGACAAAGGACAGAAGCTAGTCATGTGGCTTAATCCAAGAACAGAAGGCACATAGGTATCCTAGGCACAGTATAAGAACTTGAGGAGAAAAGTCTACGATCTGGATCATATTCTGAATGTATCAATACTCAATGTATCTGAATACTCACCGAACTTAAAGTACAGGCGCCATCTATTTGACTTCTCAAAAGCAGAGAATACTAGACATTATTAGAATCAAGAAAAAATAGCCAGCCAGTTCACTTATATAACTTCTTTCCAAATTCATTGCCACCTTGAATGGGAAAAAAATGTCAAATGGGAGTTTCCAGTGCATTTGGGGCTGGCCTCGTGGAGGTTCTGGCCATTTCGTCATGTCAGTGAAGGTAACGACAGTTGTCAAAGGTACCATGCTTGTACTTAGGAACTGTAACAAGAAGGAAAGCACAAAGAGTTCAGGAAGCTTAATACAAAATATGCATCTTTCCTTGATTTGCTAATGGAGACCCACTGTGGATGGCTGGCAAGCAAGATGTCTTCAGGATGGTAGGAGTTAAGTACTCCAGATACATTTTTTAGTGGAGTAACTCCTCTTTCCCAAAATTGATACTTAGCAGGTAAATCGAGGGCACAGGTGTCAGGAATGATCAGTAGCTGCTGCGCATCCTATGTTAGAGATCTCCAGAATGGAAGCAGTGACTCAAGCTCTGCTAGAGTAAGCTAGTTGGTAATAAGAACAGAAGCAAACCTAGCTTTATTTTTTATAAAATTATATATTTTATGTAAGATAAGATCACCTGGCCCTTTGAATAGGTGATTGCTGCCAGAAACAGACAGGACTGCCATAAGATCTGATCCTTTCAATAAAATATCAATAAAATAAAGCAGGGACCTCATACAACAATGAATTTGTTTCTCACATTTTAGGATATTGTTTCAGAAAGGAGACAGATTGGTAGGTCAGTTGGTAAAGATGGAACAAGGGACTGAACAAAGGCCTCAGGTCCTTTGAACATACATTGGGCAGAATCCTACCACAATACATGGTTCTACAGGGAGTCTGCAAAGATGCATCACGAGCAGATTCCTTATATGCGCTTACACCAGCACCGATCCCGAGAGTGTCAGCATAGTGCACCTCAGCCTGGCTGTGGGTCCATCCCCCAGCCCAGCTCTGCTGCCCAAAGGTGGCCCCTGAGCTTGGGCCCCTGAGCGTTCCCATTCCAGGATGGCTACAAGACAATGCTGAGGCTGTTTCTTATCTAATCACCAAGAGAAACTTTACTCCTTTGCAAGTCTTTTGCAGGGAGCTTGTCTCTGGCATCCCTGCTTCCAGCCACTTTAACCCCTTCTTGTAGCTGGGCCTTCTTGCTCTCTGTGCCAGATCATTCCTCGGTCACAAATTACCACTGTTGAGCAGTTACAATGAGAATTTCCCCTTCGCTCATGATGGATATACGTTCTCCTCTCAATGAGGAAACACACAGTAGGCACAATCACCTTAGTCAACAAGAAGCCTCTAAATGATTCTGGCTTTGTGTCCGGACCTTCAAAATCTGCCTTAAAATCAGAGACATTAGTGGGGAAAAAACCCCATACACCACCCCTCCTCAACAGCTGGGAGCAGGCAGCCACAAGTAACTTCCAGCATGTTCCTGTATAGCTCTACATCATTTAAGACTGTCCTGCATTTTCAGGAAGTCCAAATACAACTGTGACCAGATATTGTGGATGGGTGTACAAAATGGGATGTCTTTCCTGGGGTCTGTGTTTTCTGGTCAGGCACTAAGGCAACTCTCCAGTGACACAGCGTGGTCTAAAGGAAAAGGTTTTCTCTAAAGAATGCATAGTTCTCAGATAGAGAATCTGTAGGCTAAAACTGGGAAGTGACATAATTTAAAAGTAAAGCAATATACAGCACACATTGGTGATCTCACTGGTATGCTTACAAATGGCTGCAATTCTTAACTGCTGGGTATGGTACCAACTGGTACGTTTGCTAAAATGTCGTTACTAACAACCCTAATTTGTGGATTGCCACTGATGAAGTCAGTACTGATTTTAATGGTGTGGTTTTTTCTTGCTGTCAGAAACTTGCTTTCTTATCATTTGCTTTGCAATATACCTTACAGTTCTAAAGTAATTAGCATCAGTTGCTCAAGCAGATGAAATTTGAATCTCATAGTTCTTGATTGGCTAATCCTTACCGAGGGATATGCACCCTGCACTTTTACTAGGAACGAAAGTCTCCCTCCTCAGACAGAAGTTTTGTTAATGGAGCCATTTAACAGCTCAGATTTAGAAAATATCTTCATGGGGTGGGGGTGTCAGTTTGCCTCAGGGCAATATGTGTTTTACAAGGTGAACAGTTTCCTGTCGTGTACTTTTCATGTATGTTGCAAGAAGGGAGGACGAAGAGGTACCATGAGACACATCCAAACAAGTGATGTAAAATCTCATTTAGACTTGAGTCTGAAGTTCAAAGAGTAGTAACAGATCAGACAGACACTTGCCATGTCATGCCTCGCTGCCATGAGAACGCCATGGGCAGGTGTCAGCTGCTCCCCCTAAAGCCCTTGCAGAGAAGTATAAGCCTTGAAATACATATGCTGCCTAGAAGACTCTGTGATGTCAGGAATCCAGTCTTGCACCAAAATGGGATCCACTGACACATGCTTGAAAAAGAGTATTCATGCTCCTTTGCAGACCTGTTAGCTCCACCTTCCTGCTGACATCATAGAATCATAGAATAGTTTGGGTTGGAAGGGACCTTTAAAGGTCAGCTAGTCCAACCCCTCCGCAATGAGCAGGGACATCTTGAACCAGATCAGGCTGCTCAAAACCGTGTCCAACCTGACCTTGAATGTTTCCATCATGTAACCTTCTCCTAGAAACCTGTTTTCTGGCTTACAACCGTTCCCTGTAATTCTTCAAATCTGCTGCCATCAGCATTAGCCTCTTCCTCAGCTACCTGTTGGTGATTTCAGAACCCCTAGAGGAAGAGAAATATCTTCTCACACAGATTATCAGCATGCTGTGGAGTCTCTGAAATATAGATCAACTCAAATTCCATATTAGGGCTTTAAGAGACAACTAGATAAACATGTAGTTATTGAATGTTTGTAACTACAACTTTATACCGAGCGTAATTAGAAGTTTAAAGTTGGAGTCCTTAAGTGGCAGAAGGTGGTTTGGGGTTGGAAAGAAGGTACCTTTTCCAGTTGTACAACTGATTGAGGACAGTACTGATAAGACCATAAAACCACCTTCCTCTATGAAACTGTTAAATACGAACTCTTGCCATTGCAGCCAGACCACTGCTAAAGTTCAGTAAATCTCAACTCAGTAATATCAAGACTATTTGATTCCTTGTTTCTTAAATAACCTGTGAATCCCATTTAATTACCTCTGTGTGTGAGGGAGGGGTTTTAAATTCCATACCTTCAGGGGGCGACACTGGTAAAAGTACCGTGCACCCAGTATTTGAGCTTGTGGGTTGGACAGAAGGCCCACCTTAGTCCACAATATCTGTATCTCCAGGGTCACAGGAACCACACAACCAGAAGTGCTATTCACAGCCTGAAAATAAAACATACCCCAAATGTCTTAATATAATATTTCAAAGATGAAAAAGGACCATTATAGTCAAAGTCTAATATTTTGGATAGCATAGATCACAGAACCTGAATCAGTCACTTCAGCACTAACCCCATAACTTCTGGTCAGGTCAGCCACCCATTTTAGAGCTATATCCATCTCATTGTCATCTCATTTCCAAACAGAATTTGTCTCAGCTCTACCACTTGGATTTTGCATTCTATCAGGCCATCTCCTGACAGATTAATAATTATTAAAATAGAATTTCCCTCCTCCACAAGCACTTGGATTGCAAACTTTTACCCTTATTAGGTAATATATTAATATCCCCAGAAACTGGAAAATCAGAAAGGACAATAATAATAAAAGCATCAAATTAATATGAAGTAACCAGGTAGTATTAGTTCTAGAAGGCTGTCAGAAAACTAGGTAATACAACACTGGATTCTGTATTAAACTGTTTTTGCCCATTTAAATAGCAGGAACAGGATTCAAGAGATATTAAATCGGTCAGTTTTTATTTTTGTTTATTAAGTATCCTAATAACACGAACCATAATAAGAATGACTGCTTACAGGCAGACTGGGAGTCAGTGGATCGTCACACAAAGAAAGTAAGCCCAGATGAACAAGCTGGTTCTTTTTTTTTCCAATGCCCATGCTTCCCAAGGCAATACAAAGATAGGAAAGGAAAAATATTCACAGCTGGCCTTTTTGCATTCATATTACCTGCACGCTGCAGTTCTGAATCAGAATGGTCGTCCACTCCTCTGCCTGGGCTGAATGAGCACTGCCAGTTATAGCAAGGTCCTCTGCTCTGTTCATCCCCTGAAGAGCCTTGTATAACCTCTGCTGGATGTAACTACAGTTACTTTTGTCCAGTATTGGGGATAAGCTGGAAATGAGAAAATAACAGCTTTGACAAACTGATTTCCAGGACAGAAAAAAAAAATGCTATCAACATCCTTCCTTCATAATGAGTATTTCTTCCACTCTTGTAACAAGTCAACAGAATAATTATGGAAGTATTGGTATTAAATGGATGCAGTTTCAATCCTCTCTGCAATGAGAAGGGAGAAGAACATGGCAGGGTAAGGCATGATAAGGAAAACTGACAGCTCTTTAGCCATCTTACCACATCAGTGGTCGCATACCTGCCCTGTCACCAACAAAAGAATGATCCAAATCATCAAAACAATCACTTTTTAAGGTTCCGTTATAATTCACTCCTCAAATACAAACTCTACTCTTGCCCAAGACATGTTGCCAGACAACAGCCTCAAAATGTCCTGGAAGACCTTCACAATGTTCAGATTGTTCTAGAGGTCCACCATCCCTCTGATATTCAAGTCCTTTTATGAGTATATGAAAGATCTGTAGAGACCCATTGGTGACCTCAGGGAAGGACCTAGGCTCCACAGCAGCGTGTGAGTGACTATGGAAAAACGTGCTCAATGAGTCCACTCCTTCCAAACGTGTCAGGAAGGGCGACTGCAGAGTGTGTTGTTACCTGAGCTCGCAGCCTGTCCTCATATTTCTTCCAAATTGTACTGTGTGTCTGAGGAACTGTGAGCAACTTCCATCACCTTCACTCTGTAAAATGCTCATCTGACAGACTGCATGTCAAGAAGCCAAACAAAAGCATAAACAGACAATACAGGACACCCAACTTGTATTTAACAATCCTCTCACCCCACATTCCTCCTCATCCCTATCACAGGACTACAATTCAGTTGTGACCAAAAGGCCTGCTGATGGCTGCAGTGTAATACTAAGGTATGCCCTCACAAGTAAAGGTAGAATCTCAGAAGTCCAGACAGTAGAGTACCAGAAGTCAATAAACACAGTAATAAATAAAACTTGATAGCAGAAAAATGATACATGCTGCATAGCACCACTGTTCGCAATCAACAGTGGCGCTCCAGTGATATAGCCGGGGTTTCCACTTCTAGGCAACGTATGAGAAAGAGTCCTGGTCTACAGAGAGGCAAAGGGAAGAAAGAAAGGAAGAGGAAAACATTAGCACCAATGAGATCCATTTGCCTCAGAAGATCAAATTCACATTCTCAAAAATGTAAATGTAACCCATTTTTTGAATGACTGAATATTATGCACTACTAAAACCTCCATTATTTGTTTCCAAATCATCTTTCTTACCTGGCAAGTTCATCTGCAGTCCAGGAGGTAAAAAACTAAATGTCAGTACCCTGAAATGTGGATACCACCAGGACAGTTCTTGAGACAATGAATTCCTGTTGCTCAGCATTTGTCTCTAGGGAAGTGAACACATCGGTCTGGGCAATTCTACATATGATCTGCAGAACAAACCCTGCCTTGACCCTGATTCCGAGTGGCAGATTCCACTTCTGAATTGTTTTATGGGGAGAAGCCCTGGGGATAACTTCAGCAAGGTTACACTGCACACTTACCAGCCCCTGAGGTCACCACTTATGCCACTTTACATTGCTTCTATGGGACAAGGTTTATATGAACTTCAGCACACATTAGTATTTCCCAGATTTCCACCCCCTCCAAAGTAACTCTTTTTCCCACTGCACAGGCAAAGTTAAATAAGTACCTGGAATAAATTTAGCAACTTTGTTCACAAACACTGAACACCTCAGATACAGCACCAGCTCCAACCCCAAAAAAACCCCAAACCAAATCAAAACAACAGCAAAAAATAGTTAATCGGCCCCTTCAAACTTGTGCAGTGCAAGACTGCATGCTTGCACCGAGCCTGAATTTTTCTACTAATGTGGTTTACTTGAGACCAGAGCAGTGTCCCCTCCTTCCTTCGACCACTAGCTGTGTCCCAGGGTTCTGGTTCTACCATACCACAGTGACACTGCTCTAATCTTTTCACATCCCATCTGTACAAAACTGGGTCACAAACTACAGACTACAAACTTTGTAAGAGCCCAGGGAGGATGGGGGCACTGACCCAGAAGTGCAAAGTGAACTGCTGCTGCAGAGAGGATCCTGAGTTCCCAGAGATGTTGCTCACTTTGAACCGGACAGAAACACTCTGAATCCCACGTGTGCCACTGAATTCTATCTCATAGATCACCTGAAAGTCCAATTCAGAGAAGAATCAGAGGCAGAGGCAGGTAATAGGGCAATGACTTAAAAAGCTGCCCAAAGGAAAGAAGATTCAGATACCTCAGAAACAACATTGTTACACGTGTTGTCTTTCATGTGGGGAGGTCCAGGTGGTGCGACTGCGGTGACATTTACCTGGAGACAGTAAGCATATTAACAATTAGCAATTGTTTAAAAGGAGCTGTGCCTTTCTTACTCTTTTGCACTGCTTTTCCATCTAAGTCAGATTTACCTTCCTGCTGTAGCTGTGATCTGTGGACACACCCTGCTCCAGACGCCCAATTTTTTCTAAGAAAACAAGCTACCTCCCTGACTCCAGCCCTATCTATGCCCATTCATTTAAAACTACATCTTTCCTTATATCCCTATTTTTTTTCTATAATGTCACACTTTTGTCCAAAAAAATCTTGTCTCAGACACAGAACGTTCCCATTCTCCCAAGTTCCCAACCCATGGGCATTACTATGAATGCCTAAGATTCCAGATATGTTTTATTTCAGAAGCAGAAATTATTTTCATTGGCAATAGAGACTGACCTTCATGGACTGCACAACAGTGTCATTAATTGGGACCTGGGGAAAACAAACAAACCAACATACAACACCAAAAAACCAACAAATTTTCTGGGTTTGCAAGTGCCTAAAGTCATGAAACCGTCATTAAATAGAGCCTACATATTATATTGACAAAAAATTACTTTGTTTGTTCCAGATGTGTAAAATTTGTCATCAATTTGGATCTAGAAATCACAGACATAATCCACAGAAAGCATCTTTAGAACATCAGAAGATAAATTTTATTCTTGGCCCTGCTAATGACCTGCAGAATGCAGATACTTTAAAATATCGGCATCTTTGATCCATTCCTGGAACTCCCCCTTCTAGAATCAAGTAATTACTTCAGCTTCCATTTAAGGAAAAATTAAATTTTGGCCACAGTGACAAAGAAAGCCCTGAAAACATGAGTTAAATTTAATCAATAAAAGACTCTCTACTACAGTTACATAGGTTTAGATTTCCAAAATAAGGGTAAACTGAGTCATTAGCCTTAATAAGGTATTAATATTTACACTGCTGTTTTATCTTGGAACACCAGAGACACTCTAGAAGGTGGGAGGAGATATTTTCATGTTAACATTCAGTGAGACCTGCATGATGAACCCAGAACAATAAATTGGTTATTTTGAAATTATTGTCAGGATAAGCAGTAGAGAAATCGATACATAATTCAATCTATGAATGTAAATAAAGCTAATATTGATAACTGGCCTTCAGTATAATTTTAGAGATAACATATTGCATAAAACAAATCCTCATTCTTTACTAAGAACATGCATTGCTTGGTTGATCAAGTTGATGGAACAGATAGAAATACTTTGATAAACAGCCTGTTTAAAATGCAAGAGAGTTCTAGTTAAACCACTAAAACTATGAAGTATCAATAAAGTACCTGTTAAATGCATTAAGAATTTTCTAATAACTGACATTTATTGGAAGGTAGTTTGAATTGAGGGATTATCACCGATCATGACATTTTTAACAGGATTTCCAGCAAGAAGGCCTTAACAATCAGGAGATCAGGGATGACATACCAGATGACCTTTAGTTTTCCAGTTAGCTGCAGTTGCAATGGAAGGCAAGCAAATAAGATGTTGAGCAAAAGGAATAAATATGACATGCACCTTTAGCACAGTGAAGCCACGGTAGTAGGAGGCAGCATCTAGGGCAGGGTCAGTAATGCAGCTCTTGCTCAAGTTGGCAAAAATCCGAGTACAGCTTGTGCTTTTACTGTCCAGGAAGCCTGAGTTAAGACATGACAACAGATAAAACAGAAGCAGACCACCCTAAGAAATTCTTCCCCCCCTTACTAACCAGCAGGATTTCCATCAACACAAAGTCCACTGGCTCCCATTTTTACTGGCTGTTTAAGCGTGCTCAGTAGAGATGATGAATCAAAGTAGATTAGGATTGGATCACCAGCCTGAAAAGACAATTTGCAGAAATCACAGACAAAGTGACTGTGGAATACTAAAGCCAAGCACAAGGTGATGACATCATCAGGGCACGGAGGCAAATTTATACTTCCTCTTAGTGTACACCCAATTTTGTCTAAAGGGTTGCTCAAACTTTTAAATACAAGAAAACTAATCAGAAACTTTTTACACAAAAAGGAATGAAAAGAACTGAGAAATAATATGGATTATAGGTAGAAAAATAAGAATCTTTCAATCTGTTCTCGTTAGATCTCATTACAGACAGCTTTAGTAAAAGTGTACCTGCAAACTGCTTGCTATTTTCTTTCAACTCACCCGGTAAAAGGCAGAGAATGATGGCTGGACTTTCTGCCATACTTCTCCAAGAGCTTCACAAAATCAGATTCTTTGATATCCTGTGGCTGTTGGAAATAGTTCAGCTTTGCTAAAGGTTGAAAAGAGAAAAAAAAAATCCACCAATATCGAATTACTAGAAAAAATAGATCTAAGTAAATATTTTGCCAATATTTTTAAAAGGAACAACTTCAGTAATTATAAGCCAGATAGTGCCTTATATTAATTAATCCACAGTAACGCTGCTAACAGGCTAATGTGAGCGATGAACAGGATAATATCATGAGTACTAGTTTGTACTGTTTCATGGGAAAAGGTGTTAATACACAAATGTGACTTTCCAAAAAGCATGAAAACTGCTTAAGACAACTATCTTCATACGTGCTCTAATTTCTGTAAGATGCCCAAATTAGACACACATGACATTTTAATGACAAAACACCACCAATATGTGAGTTCACTGAAAGCAACATTAAATGGATCCAAAATAATTAAGGCTGGTAAAACTCAAAGTAAGTATGAATAGGGAATAGGCATCCTAAAAAAACCCAGACTTTCTATTGGTATCCCACAGTGATGCCCTCCTGACCCAGTGGTATTCAGTGTGGTTACAATGTTATAACGTATTAAATTATTAGTGCTAAAAACGCTAAGTCATAAAATGACAAATTGTTAAGGACATATTATGTAGACTCATGCTAATAGACTTGTTCGAACAATAACCTTTTTAATACATCCAAATAAAACATCTTACAAGGTTCAAGGACTACAGATCATACCGACAACGGGAGTGAGTATCAGTATCCTCAATTACAGTAGTGCCAAAAGAAATTTAGGTAGTCTAGAAGGTTGGGGGGGGCGGCGGGGAGAAACAAGAACGAACTTAAGCTCTCAGTGTAATTCTGATGTTCAAGGGCACAGCAGATCCTCAGATGTACAGAGCAGCAAGCAGAAATAAAAACCTTTCTATATCAAAATACAGCATTAGTCAAGCAGTCAACTAAATCTTTTAAGGAGATAAAGGCCGAAGGAGCATTAAGCTCCTACAAGGTTCACAAAAATAGCTGCACAGAGCAGCTTTCTTATTATTCACTTGAGGGTATAATCATTACACTGAAAAAGAAAACATTGGTAGTTGTGCTACTCACAACCATTTCTTTTCTTTGGAATGCAGTTCTTTATGTACTCTTCTATTATCAAAACTGAATACTTGCTAATGCAGATTACAACATTACATAATGCAAATACATAATTCCTGAAAACTGGAAGAAAAGGCCTTCTGCAGCAAAACTTAAGATATTCAAACTGCTTAAGTTTTCAGAGAAAAGACATACATAACTTGTTCATAGTGTAGTTTGCTCAAGAAAGTATGCTAGCTGCTAGAGGCTATTTAGTCTTGTAGAAAAAGGCAAAAAAGAATTTCAGACAATTTAATTTGTCTGAAACCAGACAAACTTTAAAAAAACAAAACAAAACAGGAGTCAGGGTGATGGATAATGATTCTTGTAACTTTAAAATGCAGTCATATTAGTTCTTCCACTGATTTAGAAGTGGAAATAGCAACAATATTCTCCTAACAGCTGCAAAGACTAAAGACAAAGTTGTTCTCTTGAGAAGCTAGTGTGTGAAACGGGAATGCTTTTAAAAGTACTTTAAGTATTTTGAAAATATCCACTATTTCCAACTGTCCCTGAGAACTGATCTCTTCCTCTTAATGAATTAATTGTCAGTCAGATCAGCGAGGCTGCCTGACTCAGCCAGCTACATGATCATTAGACAGAAGGAACTGTTAGGGATGTGGTGAGCAGTCACACTGCTCCATTTAGTATCAATACAGTCTAAAATCAGTTTAAGACATATATGAAACTCCACCCTTAGCACAACACAGTGAAAAGGCAGTACTGGGAAAAATTGCAAAAGGAATAAAGGGCCACAGAGGGCACAAAAGAGAGAGAAGATTGGGTGTGATGAGCTGTCAAGGTTAGAAGAATGCCAGGGTTGCGAACAGCTGTCAGATGGAGGACAACAGTATGAAAAAGTAGAAAAATAAAGCAACTGAAGGATGGCAATAGTCAGAAAACCAGGCAAGAAAGATGACTGGGTGAAGCAAAGGATGTTTTACACTTCAGGAAAGACAGCTGAAATAGAGTACTGCAGTCAAGAAAGAATGAGGAGAGTCATGGAAAGGGCCATTAGTGACAAGCAGAGGAAGAAAAAACCTGCATCTTTTAGAAGTATCATAAAGAAATATTAGTAAAACTTGAACACTACTCTGGTATCTGCTAGCAACGGTTTCAAAGGGGTGAGGTAAACTTGTGCGCCACAATCTCTTTGTTACTGGCCACGAGAACTCATTAGGTTCAGAGCCTGTTCCCACTTGCCCTTTTCCAGGGGGCCCTCTGGAGCAGCCTTGATTACAGTTCTTGCAGTGGTAGCTCATGTCACCATCCATCCTGCAAAAGCTTCTTCCACAATCAGTTGATGAGAACATATGCATTTCTGTATTTCCTTGTGGTAGGCCAAAGGGGAGAAGGCTGTTTCTACCGGAAAACTTTATCATCCTTCAGGTGATCCCAAATAAAGTCTTTCCTAGATGTTCTTCCAACAACAAGCACAGAAAAGGAAAAGGCCATGTGAGCAGTGAATTCTGTTGCTCCCAGGTGTGCTACACCTAACGTACACGTGCAATTGAATGTCTAGGGCTTGCTCAGTGGGGCTAATCATGTGATAGTTGTGGGGCCCAAATATTAAATGGCCAGAAAAATCTGGTGCCATCAGTCTGGACACAAATGATCCTTCCTTTGGATGACATTACAAATTCAGAATCCTTCTAATCTTATTTTTATGCTACTATGGGTGGTGTGGGAAAAAGATAAAATATAGCTACTTCCAAGTTACAGGCTGGAATACCCAGGAGCCTGATGGCACTTTCAGCTGTGGTTAAACCCTCATCAAAATTCATCTTTACTCTGAGACCTACCAAAAATTGGAATGGGTGAACTTCTAGCACTACCACCTACCATACCATGTACTACGAGGCTCTCATTATTTCTTTGCTCTTCCCTGCACGCAAAACATTCAGGCAACATCTGTGAAGAGCTGAAAGCAGGACTAGATAATGGCACTAGGTAATAGTCAAAACCCTGTTTTGACTAGTTGTTGGACCAGTTAACCTCCTGAGCCCCACCCAACCTAAATGCTCTATGATTTAGGTCAGAAGTAGATGGGACTGTGGGTCAAAACTCCCAGGCAAAAGACTGAAAAGAGAAAACCCTAAGTGTTCAAATGTGAGACCCTAGTGAATTGTAATGAATGCCAGAGAGTTGGGCATCAAGTCAGTCAAATGAAGTACAATCTAGAAAGCAGAAAGAGAAAAAAGTGTTAATGGCATACCCTATGAGGGTATATCATTATTAGAGGAAAGTCATTGCCAGCAGAGAAGAAAGTATGAAAATAAGCCTATGAAATAAAGAATCCAAGATACGATAAGAAAGCACTTTCTGAAAGAGGATAGTAACAGTATATTTCAAACATCAACCCTTATTTGCTGCTCTAAGTGTAGCAAACTAAGTAAGGTATCTCAGATACAGAAGCAACTGATAAAGGTTGATTTGTGTTTAGCCAGAGACCCTATCCTTAAACCCAGTGCAATGATCTTTTTTTTGTTTGTCTTTGGTAATGGGACTCTGATTCACTATGGTGTCTCTGGAACTACAACAGCCAAAATAATTAGTAACAATTATAACATGTAAGTTTAAAAAAAGATTCCCTAAGCAGAGGCAATCTATGAATCAAGTGTGTGGACAGAAGGGTCACTTACCGTCATCCAGCTGCACACAGAACAGCAGATCATGTCCACCAGGGACAGCTATGGTATCCGTAGGATAAGGCGTGTTACTTCTGAACAGGAGTGATTTTTCCACACACACTTGACTCACAGACCTGCAAAGACAAGTCCCCCTCCCCCCCAGCAAACTGTTAAAGAGGTTACTCTTGCATAAATTCATATTTTACATTACTAAATGCCAGCAACAGTATTACTTTTCATCAGCTTACACGAGTTATTGTACAATTTGCATTGATGGTCAATTACAGAAAGCCTCTCTCACCACTGTAGTAACTTTGGGGATACGCTCTACTTGTATCTTTAGAAATCGCTCTGAAACTCCCTGGAACAAAAAGCAGTAAAGAAATTCCATGTCCATGTATCACAGCTCCCCTTGGTCCCCCTCACAACTGCAATCTGCAAAGACAGGGTTCACCCACAGATTTTACTCTCCAAATAGCTGAAACTGTCTTCCTCACTGACAGCATCTCGCAGTCTGTAACTGCTTTACTGTCTCCCAATTGTACATTAAAGTTTTCTTCCTAAGGTAAGACTTCCTAGTTCCCACCGCCAGTAGCCTTATCAGAGGGTAACCAAGCCCTGCTTTGCCTAGGCCATGAAGGTGTTGGCCGTGGGAAGCCTCTCCAAGCCCCCGGCTCGGCATTAAGCTCTCCCCCGTGCCCGAGGCGAGGCAAACACGACGCGACAC